TGGCACTTTATATCGTAGCATGACATAGAATATTTCTTCGACAAGTTTATAAAAACTGGAATTACAAACTACATCGTCTTTTATCCGAATTTGTAAAATATCATAGTACTTATGCTAGTGTATGATGGTCTATTGATATCAGATTATCTTATCAGACTATTGTTTATCAATAATCAGTTATTATTGATAAACAATATTCAAGATTGAAAATTTCTATTAGTTTTATGAACAAAATTGTCACACTGATCACAATCAGTCATACTTATCACATTCATTCAACGTTATGTTTGTAATGAAATTTTATAGATGTTAGTTTTTTTTGCTTTATAAGGAGCAAGTGTTTATATATAAGAAAAAACTGTTCGTTGTTCTTGCGTTCCAAATTGCTCAGATTTATTGATACAACCGGAATAGCGAGAAAATGTATTCGATGTTTCACGCATAGGGAACGCCAATCTAACAATTAAAGTTGCAATAGACTGGAGCTGTACGTGACTGGATTCGATCTTCAAACTGTAGAATTGAAAATCGAACATGTTAACCGTTAGACTGAAATTTTCATTGTATATCAATGTGTTTTACACATTCCAATAGTAATGATAATATAGCTGTAGTGCATAAAAATTTACATTACTCAAAAATTTATTTCTATGAAATTTTTTTTGAACAATTAATTTCAGTTCATAGCATCATTTATAGTTTTTCTTTTGATTCTTTTCAAAAAAAAAGAAAACTAGCCATGTTCAGATTCCCAGATTAAAAGATATATGAAAACTTAAATACATTAATAGTTATCAGCTAATTCGCAATGCTAGTAGTGAAAGATAATTCAGTTTTACAAGACTAACTGTTGCTAAGTTACCGTAATAAGAAACAAGTTTTATCAACTTTCCACTTTAATATCTATAGTTAATTTCTTACTCCAGTGATAAATGTAGTTTTTTTTGGTATTAAAAACACACTTAAAAAATTCAATATTTATTAAACATCAATAATATATCGTTCTATCTCAACAGAAAGGTAAATTCTAATATGCAAGCATGGTGTTAATCTTATAGTTTCACAACATTTAACCATCTGGCTAATCTGTTGTTGAAGATCGCAGTCCAAAATTCTAATTCATAAGTATTTTCCTGAAAGAAATCCTTTTTTTGATTTAGATTCGTTCAATAGACAATGAATGTTTGTCTGAAGTTCTTACTTCTTCTTCTAGCGGTCTTTCTTCCGCCCGTTAGTTGATTCTGCTCTATTTTCGTTTGTTATAGAAGATGTAATTCGTATTTATGCTACTATTTAACTTTATTTTGTTTCATTTAGGCTTCAGTACTATGTATTGATAGATGTGGAAGATCTTTCTTGCTCAATTGTTTACTCACTATTCTTCTCTATTTTCCCGGCTTGATACATGCAGTCTATATTATATTAATGTATGAAAAACAAACATATCAGATAAAACGAGTTGTAAGTATTGATTTAGTCATTTCTCTCTCTCTCTCCCCTAATGCATACTGTTCGATTCCCTTTTTTAGGTTCAATCGATTGCCAAGTTTCCTGAAACAAGACCTTATAGTATCGTCGTACACCCCACAATATAATTATCTTTTTGTGTAAAATAGTACATATCGTGTCAAAAGTATCGTCTGTTATTGATTCAAGTTTTAACATTTCAAAATGACACATTTTTCTTATTTTTAAAATGCTTTTTTTCAAAATGTATCGATCGATTTGTATTTGTTGATTACAAAAAAGCCCAATGATTCAAGATATACTGGTACAGTCCTTTGTCAGAACGAAAATAAAGGTAATGTTAGAGTTTCTCTTGCATATCTCTATATACAGTTGTTTTACCCGCGTTTTAACTGAATATCTGACTAGGATGTGCGATTCATCTACTTTTCAACCAAAAACTATCAGGTTAGATAAAAACAAAGCTTTTTAGTTTTCTGCTATAATGTGGACAAAATGACCACTCGAAGGTAAAGTTGAATTTCTTTCGATAGATTATTCAAGCTCCGTTAGTATTAAATATCTTCGCAGAGCATGTTGTACTAGGACGCATGATATCTGTATTATGCTCAATCAGTGTCAGAGAAAAATGGAAAAAGATAAATTTTGATCGGTGGTAAATGGTAACAGCGAGTAGAATATTCCTTATTTTTTTAAAACTGATATGATGAAATTATATAACGAAAATGGACACGATTATGCAACTACAAATACATATTTTCCTTTGATTTCAAAGATGTTTAGAGAAAAAAGTTCAAGTTCTAACAGATGTTAATTTAACACAGGCACGCTCAGCAAAAAGAATACGTTCAGTTTATCTTAGAGAAATATGAACACTCAACAGGTAATAAAGTATATTTCGAGAAAGAATTTAAGAGGAATTCTTAAAAATCATATAGATTCAAATTTCTTCTTGTTGATTAGATTCGCTCAGACCAAGATATTTGAACTATGAGATTTTGTTCTTGCATTTTATTTTTAGAATATGTGTATACTGCGTTGACTGTAGACTTTTTTCAAAAATAGAATTAAAACGAAGGAGAAAACGAACAAAAAAGAGACATGATAGCAACGATTGAAGAAAAAACAAAAGGCAGAAGGTGAATTGTACATATACGCAGAAAAGAAGATGCAAATTATCTTTAAATCGAAAAAATATATTTGTATTAAAAAATCAGTATAATCTTCAGAATTAACGATTTTGTCATCAACAAACAACATGAACAGTGTAAATCCAAGATAAAGAAAATGCATGGTATATTTTATATGAGCAAGAAAGAAAGGGCTAGATGCAACACATTCACTGTCTGCAATGTGAGAACAATTCTTTTATTATCGTTGGAAAATGCATCTTTGTCAGAGAGACTTTACTGTTCTGCGTTCGTTTTTTAGCAAAAAATAACGAAAAATACATTTATGATTAAAGACTAAAACTCGATGATAATGTTTTGATAATTACACGCACATACAAATACAAATCAGAAAAGAAAACAACTGAATATAAAAGAAAAGCGTTCAACGTCATATATCTTGAGAGTCTATATAAAAATATATTTAGGCAAAATTGAAATTTGTTCATTGTCTTAAAACTGATGGGAATGTTTGTGATACTTACACGCAAAACACATACTTCAGATGAGATGGATTACAAACATCGTATTTCGATTTTCTTGATAAAATTTGTGTTTTATCAAATAAACTTTCTTTGACTATCTGTGTCGATCACCTTTCGAGTCTTAGTTCTAGTTTGATAAATTACTAGATTCAAGATAAAAACAAATAAAATGTTCTAATGCAATAACCGATAAAAAAAAAGCGAAGAGAAAAACAAACAAACAAACAAGAAAGAAAGAAAAACAACAATAAATTTATTATTGTTGTATATAAATCCATCAACTGAACAACAACACACGTTTGTAATTGTTTGTCGGAAAGCAAATATAATTTGAGAAACAGTTGTAGATTTAAATATTAACAAACAATGAAACATTACTTTAATTTTAAAGAAACGTGAATATATTTATTGTTGTCTATGTTGCCAAGTTTGTGTTACTTGTGTGTTAGAAATTGAAGAAGTAATGAAGGGAGCTGTTGAAGTTAAATAGAGTGTTGTCATTGTTGTTGCTGGTTGATATGGTATTGAATAATGATGTTGTGGAAGAAAATTATTTGAAGTAGTAGTGTTAGTGATTGTCGGTAATTGTGTTGGTATGAGATTGACGGTTGTGCCATTATTTAATTGGAATAAATTTGATGCATAACTGCCCGGTGTTGAATGCGATTGACCAATTGCTTGTGTTTGTGGTTTAGTTCGTGTAGTACTATTGTTGTTTCTATTCGTCTCATCTGTCGATATTCCAAGAGATAATTCCTTTTCCTCTTGTTCATCATTTTCATCTTGTTCCGTTCCCATAATCCTATCAATGAATGAAAAAATTCTTCCTTATATTTTCCATTGTATGTTCATATACAATACTCTACTCTGATTACCTTAATCGAGCTAGACGATATTCTAATTCACGTTGTTCATATGTTTTAATCGCTGGCGTTTTTGAATTTGTGAATGTTGTAGTAGAGGATGGATGAGATGAGTTGTTTTTCACTGTATTACGAATAATAGAAATAACGGGAGAATTGTTGGGAGATGAAAGTGCTACTGAGTTTGTTTGCGATGTTACGTTATTATTACTGTTATTATTGGTTGAGGCAGTGGTTATATGAACTCCATTTATTTGTGGCTGACTAGGTGGTCGTTTCAGAATGCGTACTGGTCCATTTGAACCAATTTTTGAAGGTTTGATGCCAGATGATTGGTCGTTATTTTGCTGTAGAAAATAGTAATGAATATTGTATCCAGACAAATTTTAGATTTTTTAATTTACCTGATTATTTCTAGCCACCGTGGATACTTCATTCTGTTGTTCTTTTTTTCTTGCCTTTTCTTGTTGTTCAATACGTTTATCAAATTCGCCACTATCAATCGCTGTTTCCCAATCATCTTCATTTGGTAATAATGATGATTTTATTCTTACTGTCTCATTACTATTCATTTTGACTTCAGTTGTTAGCAAATCATTAGCCATATTGATCATGTGATTTAAAAATAATTAGTCGTATATAAAACTTATTATGGATAAATATTTAAACATGCATTTATGAAAGATGTTTCAAGAAAAACTGAAGTCGACTTAATTATAGCAATTATTCATTTCAACATTATGTGGCGAATTGAAGTCCAATGTTAATCTAAAAAACCATTCACAAAAAATAGTTCAACAGAGATAATTTTGACACGTAAACACATGATCATGTAAGGTAAATTTTAAATGGCTAACCAATATACATCACTAAATCTAGATAATATATATGATTTTCTTTCGGAAAAAAAATAGTATACAACATGTGAAAAAAAATTCAAAATGAAAATAGAACAAAATAAGCGAAAGATCTTTTTCTTATGAAGTACATAGAACACGTTGAAAAAGCAAAAGTTTTGGTCGATCAAATCTGAAACAAGCAGAAGACGTTTTTAATAAAAAAAAAAGTATAGGAGTGATCTCATCTGATTTAATAGATTTGTGTTCCGGTTAGATGTTGTCACCGGGTCCGAATTAATCAAAGAAAGTGTCAGATTTTCCATCGGGATATTTTTCTCTTATTGAGAAACAAATTATCAGTTCGAACTAATTGAAAAAAATAGTTATTATCTTTGATGTCAAACATTGATTGAGAAAAATTGTGAAGAAAAATTTATGAAGTAGAAAGTAATTCAGAAGAGTGTCTTTATCAGAAATTGAGACTGGATTACTTTTACATTATAGAAGGATGATATAGACGCTTGTAGCGAGAAACCGGGGTTATGATACAAATAATTAGTCAATAAAAAAGTTTTTCAAATATTTTTCGGCTGATGTTGAAGACTGATCAAGTTAGAGAAAAAAATTGAATAAAATTAATTAGGATAAACAAAATTATATTTGACTGTGACTGAATTTCAAGATAGTCTACGTTTTTGCTAGGAGTGACATCAAGAAAGTAATCTGTCAACAGTATGGTGGGATATGTTGTTCGACTTTTCTTTTTTTTTTGTCATACAATTGCTCAGTGAACTCAATTAGAAAAAGAAGATGAAAAACAAACATTTTTTTTATCTATATTTTGTTTTGTGTTGCATATGAAATAATTAGTTATTTAAAAGAGAAAAGAAAACGACACACGCACGCAACAAGAAGAAATAAACAGAAGCTATGAATTTATTTTTTGTTTTATAGAATAAAGAGATAGCCAAAAGAAAAATTATTTGAAGAAACAAACAATAGACAAGCAAACAAAAAACTAATTGTGTTACAATTAAAGCCTCACTGTGTAGAGACGTTCATTTAAAGTTTCGTCTGCTGCTGTTGTTGCGCAAAGTTAAAAAAAGAAGTTCAGTGTCTGAGACAAAAGGAAGAAGTACACACAAACATCACGTGCGTAGAATAATACAAGAATTGAATTGTAGACAAACACAGAAAAAAAAAAGAAATTTTTCGTCGAGAAATATGGATGTGTTTTATGGATGTGTACATAAAAAGATGTGATTCAATTCCAAAAAAAAAAACCAAAAAAAGAAAGAGAGATTACAATTATGAAGTGTATAAAAATTACGCTCTTTTGTTCTTCTTCAAAAGTATGTGGTAAATATTTTACTGTTGATGGTTAGATATCATAGAATGTGCGTACTCGCTTAAAAAAGAAGAGAAAACCCGACTTTTTATACATCAAATCAACTATTAGAAACAATATTCATAGTTTTTCGTAATAAATAAACGAAAAAAAGAAAGAATTTTTCGCACGATGTCTTGTTTAATTATTTAAATTTGTTTCAGGTGATATTGTTAAGAAATCATTTGAACGTTTATGTTTTTCTAATGCATTTAATGTTGAATAATCATGTGGCAATTCACTTTTTCGTCTTAACATTGGTTTACCTTTACTCATTGAACGACTAGCCTAAAACAGACAAAAAAAAAATCACATCATTATGTTAAAAAACAGATCGTCATCAAAAGAAAGTAAAATAAAACATTCGTCTTTGTAGAACGATAGTTACATTGATTTTTACAGTTAGATCAAAAACTAACTAAATCCGTTTCATGTTCCTATTCGCACTTACAGATTATGTAATAAAATGTAGCACTGATTATAATTTACATAAAAAAAATGTTTCTTTTTATAGAATATCACCTCTCTTTAACAACGAAAAACGGAGATTCCTACAATGCCACTATCTCAATTCAAAAGCAACATGCTCGTTCATCTTATCTTCTTTCGTTTATCGAACATGCATAAATAGATAGATCCAAACAAATACAAATTAGCACAATCGCTTTAAAGCTCTAGCATTTTTCTTGCGTGCTCTCTTTTCCTTTACAGCAAATATATGGCCAGAGACACTCTCTCGAACCTTAAGACTCAAATTTTCCACCGAGATGTTTTCTTCTAGAATAATAATTGATATCCATTTTACTCCCAATTCAGTATCAGAGACAATTTGAACGAAAATATTACATACTTCTTTTGCTTCTTGTTCAATTTCTTTGGCCGTAATATTTCCCGTGCCTACATCTTCGTCATCATTTTCATTTGGACGATATAATTCGGGTTGATTATTAGCAAAATGTTTGTACTAAAATAGAAGAAGAAATAATTGTTAGTATTATAAAATAGGCCCTAGAATAAGAATAGTTAGTTACACTTGGATTTTGTTTTGCTTTCGATTCAATTTTTGTCCAAGCTGTTTCACGTTCACGTAATTTATCTTTTTCTTTTTGTTTTTCAACTTTATATTTTTGTGAACATTCATCAAATAGTTTATGATTCATTTCCATAAATAATTTTAATGCGTTATAGATAAGACCATGAATTGTTCTATGAGAGAAGAAAATAAACAACAATGGCTTAATAATAGACAATTAAACTATTTACTTATTCCAATGAGTTTTTGTATTTTTGTACAATGCTGGAAACATAATCGGCAATATAACAGTAGCATTTTCTGTTAATAAACTCATTATGTATTCATTATTCCAATAATATAGCGCTCGTTCAGCAACCTAAATAGAAAAAATCATTGTTAAATCTGTCTTATAAACATACTACTGAATAAGTAGAGAATACTAGTAAATAAGAAATTATACTGTTTTCTTTAAAAAAGACTATTTAGTTAAGTATTCTTTATCGTCTTACCTGAAAGTGTGGACTTGACACACATTTTGCCAATTGTTTAAACAATGCAATCATAACTTTTTGAAATTCTGCCGGCTCAATAACATCAAGAATCTCCTCCAATTCATTAAGAAACATAACTTCTTTTGGACTATGTGTTTTAGGCTAAAGTATTCAAATATACTATGAATTATTAGAAGGCCTAACTAGTGATAAATTATCGGCTACTTCTAACAATGAAACAAATTACTTACCCAAAACTTCAACAGACCGAGTATCACCTTCAAAAGAAGAAAATAATTTATTAGATTCTACAACTCCGAGAATGTTTTTCCCGCATTTACTACTTTTAAGAAGAATATTAGTACTTGTCAAAATTCATATGAGAAAAAAATTATTCTGATTTTATAAATTATACATCTAAAGACGATTAGCATACCGGTTGTGTTAAACTAGGATCTTTTTCCAAAAACTGAACAATACAATATGCTAATTGTGGATGATAAACACTTAATGTTTTCACTTTATGTAACGGTAATAAAACTTTGATTAAAAATACTTTATGCTCTTCTTTAAGCGGCAATGCAAAACCATTTATGATGCTAAAATGAGATAAACAAAGTGGATAAATCTAATCTATACATCAGATGATACTGACCTTCCAAGTATTTCTAATAATTCAGCTACACCATTATGTCTTTCTGTTTCATAGATAAACTTGTAAAATGTATTATTTATTTGTTTACGTATATATGCACGTAAACCAAGAAATTTACCATAGATACGATGTAAAATTGTTTTTAAAAAGTCACGTTCACGTGGATCTTCACTATCAAATAAATCCAAAAGCTACAAACAAATAAGAACAACAATAGAAAAGTAGTAGAAAATTCTTTGCACATAACTTACATTTAATACAAATTTTTGATCGATATAGCGTTTAGCCGTATTTGGTTGAAAATCTGGTGATTCCAAAAATCTCAAGAAAAAATCATAAACTAATTGTAAATGTGGCCAAGCTACTTCTAAATTTGGTTCATCTTCTTCTGGATCATAATCAGCTCCAGATGGATTCGATGATGGTGGTAACGTACGAAATAAGTTAATTGAAAACTAAAAAAGAGAGTCTATTATGAGATAAAATTTAAGAGAAAAACTGTCAAAAACAAAAATCGTTTATCGTATAGCATACCATTCGTACAGCTTCCGGATAAATAGGATCAGTAATAACACCTCGATTTGATGTTATATAATCAATCATTTCATTGAGAGCACCACGTTTAATTTCTTTCCATTTTAAATCTGATAATGGATCAAGTTGAAAATCGAATATAATACAACATTGTTGTAATTTTTGAACAAATAATGTTTCACGCTCATTTGCCGATGTTTCTTTCAATGGTGGAAGTTTAACAAGTTCACGATTTTTTGTTATATTAAATCTTGAACTATTACGTCGAGCATCTCTTTTTATATTTGGTACACCGGGCATCGGTTGAATTTTTGTTAATGGTGTTTGTGGTGGGTGAGAAGAGGATGTTGTTGTTGCACCAGACGTTGAATCCAGTTGTTGCGATGTCAAAGAATTTGCTGATGCATTTGATACACGAGTTGTTTTTGATGCACCAGTAGCCGTAGTTAATGATTTTGATGCTTCTTTTGCTTTTGGCTAAGCAAAAGAGAAACAAATAGAAACTTCTTTCATTTGAAATACGACAAAGTCTTACGTCATCGACAACTTTTGAATCTTGTTCCTCTTTTGTTTTGATTTTTGTCACAGTAGATGACGCCTAAAAATAAGAATTTTGTACTTTATACTACAAACTTTATTTGTTAAATGCGATTTAGAGGAATTCTCTCAATGTTTTCGGTAACAAGAATCTGTTAAAAATTACAAACCTTTTTCGGCGTTTTACTATCTTTTTCTTTCGACGATGGCATTTGTCGTGAATGAAAGATTTCTGAAAAACGCTTCAGATCGATATTAATTGTTTTTGATTCGACAATAATCGAACTGGAAGACAGAAGATATACACAAGGACAGTTCGGAAGAGAAAAGGAGACAAGAAAGAAAGAAGTGTGAAGAGGTAATGATGATATTGAATAATTATAATAACTTCACAATGACGATAACGGCCAAAAGAACATGCTCATATTTATTTATTTACGTCTCTTGAAAGAAATAAACAAAAAAACGCATATTGAATCTTTCTTAATAAAAATGAACTCCTGAAATTAGTTCAAAAATTATAAAAATTGACACACTTAGAGATAAAATACATATCAACATGAAGAAAAAAATGAAGTTCATGCAGAGTCGGGGAAACGTGCTTTTTCATATTCAATACACTCGATAATCCCGAAGATTTTTGATTTTAGGCGAGAGATATTGTCAAAAGTTTAGGAAACGTTTTTGAACAAAATGGTGAAAAAAAAATTTCCATGAGAAAATAATAATAGTTTTAAAATTTTTCTAAAACCTTTGCTCATACGTCTTGCCAAAAATAGAAAATCTTCTGGGTTATCGAGTATACTGAATACGAAAAAGCACTTTTTTCCGATTCTGTATAAATATTTTTTTCTCGCGGTGATACGAACTAAAATTCTTAAATTACTCATTTAAATATAAATATAAACCATATGAAGAAACAAAAAGTTAGTTTTCTAAGAATCCAATAATAATTCTATTCCACCATTGTTCGCTTTTCTGATTACTTGCATTTGATTGCTCGATTATTTCTTCCATTCATCGACGAAGAAAAAATCAACAGTTGATTGAGGTGCGTGTTGTTATTTAAAGGTATGTCTGCCGTAGTTACAAGTTTTGTCGTCAAAAGAGAGAAAGATTTTTGAAAACAAGAGAATTGGTTGCACACAAATACATACATATTAGTGCAATAATTTAGCATATAACTTTTTTGAAAAAAAATTTTCATAGAGACATAGGATATGTCTAATTTTTATTATTATTAAACAAAAGTTAAACCAAGAATTCTAATAATTATATTCATTTTCTGTGCTTAAACACTCAAGTGACTTGTTAACAGAAAAGAAAAATCAAAATGGGTCTTTATTTACTATCTAACATCATCATTTTTCTTAAATTATTCATCTGCGTTATCTCAGTTTATGAGACGAAATTTTATCAGGATAAACTGCAGTATATCTGAAACATTAAGTAAAACTAGTTATGATTCATAATAAAAGTTGAACATTTTGAGATATCAGAAAATATGTCCATATTTTGTCATAAAAGAAAGCCATATTTACTCTAGAATCGTTATCGTCACCATATTTTATTCTCGATATTTTTTGTACAAAACGAATTTGTAGATATTATATTTTGTGGATATATTTGGACGTTTTTATCACATTGAACATTGTTTATTAAAAAGAATTTTCGAGTGTAATACATTAAATTATTATCAATGTCAGATAAACAATGTTGATTAATAAGATATTCAGCACTGCCAATATATTCATCAAAATCATCAGATATTTGATAACCAGCAAAGCCAGTGACAGTTTGTTGTAAAATAATAAATATAACATAAGAAAACTAATATATGATATCATGTCAACACCAATTGCAGATGTTAACTGATAAATTATACTATCATTGAAATAACTCGTCATATATTTCGTATAGAAAGAACTAGTATAACAATCATAGCTCTTTTATTATTTATTGTCGACTTTTCAGGGTGAAATAACAAAAATATCATTGTTGTTTATATCAATAGAGAACAAATTTTGTGTATTATGTCGTTATTATTTCATCATTGTAACCAATAAGTAGAAATGTAAATCATTTGATTTAAGCTTTTTAGACATGCAATTTAAGTTGTTTAACGGTAGTTGTACGACTTTTTTTACTTGCACAAGTAATGAATACATCTATTATTGTCACTACGATAGTTTTCTATTTGATGTTGTTTGCTCTCATTAGGAAAAATTGATAAAAATCTAATTTTAGTTTAATTGCAAAGTATACGACACTAATTAAAAACTCAAAGTGTATGAAAAACAACATGTAACACAAGTAAAAAAAAAAAAAGAAAGAAGTATGTTTGTTCTGAATAACAATAAACAACAGTAAATCTTTTTGAATATTTTTTGTTTTTGTGCAGCTTTCTACAACAACAACAAAAAAAACACTCGTCTACATTTGACAGAATATGACAACAGTTTTCAAACTACACTAAATTACTTTTGAACTAAAACGTTGACAACTGCTCTAATGGCGATAATTCTAACGTTATTTGTTATTTTAGAGATGAAAAGAGTATTCTGGAATGGATATGAAATTTCTAACACGGTAGTCTAGAATCTCGATTTTAAAAAATTGTAAGAAAAAATTAAGAATTTTTACTAATAGTTGAGGTTCTGTTGAGATAGACAATTATTTATCATAAGAATTTTTTGCATGTATTAAAGTGAAAAATGATGTACATATGATTAGGTATAACAAAAAATGTGCTCTTGTGTTACTAAATCGTTGAATCGTACATAGCTTCGGACTTCAAATATTTCCTGAACTTTCTCGTTAACACAACCGAAAAATGACTTCCCTTTAGTTTTATCGGATACCATATACTTCATTATCTGACTGGATTATTCTTTGATTCAGGCTTGAAATCATTAGAAATATTGTTTTTGATGATATTGATGAAATAAAGAATTTACAAATAAAAAGAGAGATATAATTGCGCATGAGACTTTGTTTCCATTATTAACTAGCATCATATACTCTCTACATGTGCATTTTGAACTGAACGATAAAGATTCTTTATCGTAGAAGACATATGTAAGGTGCAAAGAAAGAGACTTTTTTGTACATATAAACTCCACTATATAACAATCGAATTCCAGAATGTGTATATTTTTATTCAACTGTTTTTTACCCATTGGATTGTTTACTGTTTCTATATTAATTAATTTTATGATTTTATTATGAAACTAAACATTCCCGTCTACTACATCAACTTTTCTATGATTTACTTTATTTTTATGGTTATTTTTGCATGAAAAAAATATAAAGAATATTTCAAAGAATACGTCTATTTTAATATGTTTTAAAAGAGATATATGTGCTAAACAATGTTCATTCTCTTCATTGATTTCCAGTTAAGAAATATTATTCTTATTGTATTCATCTATTCAAACGTTAACATGTCGTTGTGAATCTAACGTTTCTCTCGATGAAATGTTTGAATTTATTTAAATTTAAAGCCATAACGTGGAAAATAAATTAAGACTGAAGTTGAAAACACCTAAAACTCACTCAATCATTTGTTTTGACTCTTTCGGCTAAGTGTATAATAGTCGTCTAAACTAATGCCACTGACTGCTTTGGTGATAGATGGTAAACTGTGGTAACATATTAAATGAAGAAAACCAAACATTTTTCAATGATGTTTCATCTACATCAATAGTGGATAAAGTTGAATAAATTATATGAAAATCAAACAATTCAATAAACAAGAAACTGACTTACCGTAATTATTGTGGAAATAATGTGGTTTACTTTGCTAATATTATATACTGACACTTTGATATTTAACGTTGGAATTTGTAGAGTCCATTCTTTTGCAATAAACAACTTTAGAGATTATATATGCCCATTGAAAAAGTCAAAGTATATGTTTATTTATTTATTGTTTGCTAGCTAGCTTCCAGACAACCAGTACAGCATTAGAGTTATACTTTGTCATTCACTCCCATGAACAATAGTAATTACAAGAATATATCGATCATAATTTTTATCTAGAAAATGATCATATTTTTTCTTATTATGATACTGTTCAGAATGTGTAATATTTAGGCTAGTTTATTCAAGAAATATTGATAATATATCATATTCGATTGCATGTGTTCTCTCTAAACATTAAAATTCAGAATTATTTGAAATAAAAGGCATTAAAGTGAGGCCATTTGAAGCAAGCACTTCTATTGATTTGTATGGTTTGCAGTATAATTTTGCTTTGTTTATGACAGCCTGTCAATTCTTAAATCTTCCACTTAGAGCATTTTGCAGCAAACATGTTGACGGGGCAAAGATAAGAATCAAAATATTCAACAGGAATAAGATTTGCATTGTTAAAAATGGTAATTGCGTCTTTTCTCGTTTACTGAAAACATAGCTATGTGAAAAGTAGGCAGGCTATTAGCGAAAAATTTGACTCGAAAGAATTTATCGTTGTTCATTAATGATCAATTTACCGAGAGACATAATAAATATGATGAGTGACAAGGAGAAAAGTCTTTGTATAAATTATTGTAATGCGCATTTCTTATCTAAATAAAATTATAAAAGATCTCGTCTAAAAACTGTTAAAATACACAGACCACTTGCTCATTAGTGGAAAAAAAAATAGAGAAAGTACAACTATTTTTCTACTCTTCATCTGATAATATCCGACCACTTGTATATTTTTCTTTTTCTTCAATAACAAGAAAAACATTGTCTTGTTGTTGTTTTGAATATCAGCCGTTATTTCTTTTTCGTTTATGATATTTTGCAGTACAAATCGTTTTTTTTTGTTTTTTCTATGATGATAATAATAATTTATCCTTTAAAAGATATTTTTCCTATGAGAAATATATTCTCATCAAAAATAATCTCTGTCTTTTCGTCTAACCTTAAACATTTCCATCACTATCAACTGTCATTGTATTTTGGTATTCTCATAGGATCTTTAATAATCAATCTTATTTAATATAATCATTCATCAAAAATTTTACTAATTATGATGCTGGTATTCTTCACTGTTTGTTGTTTGTATGTTTTATCATCAGCTATACCATTATCGAATGATAATCAAAATGAAAATGAAATACAAAAATACTTGAATGATATTGAACTTTTGAAACAACATTGTTTGTCATCAAATACTGATAGTAACTGCATTAAACTTGAAAATTCACTTCGAAATGCAAAGAGTATGTGTGATCAAAAAGAAGAAAAGACCGTATTATGCAAAACAATTATCGAAGACTATTGTCAATTATCAGTGAATAATTGTAATGATACAATCAGTACTACTACAACAATTATCCAAAATGAATATTCAATACAACATGATAAAGTATTAAACATAAATGCTACATTAATTACTACTCCTTTATCAACAACTACATTAATTACTACTACTCCTTTATCAACAACTTTTTCAACTACAACAATTCAATTTATCGATCAAAATTATTTACCAGTCGATCCCGATCCAAACAATTTACAATGGGATGTCATACCATCAAATTATAGACAATTGAGAAAAAAAGGTTTATTTTGTTTTCATCATGCACAATTGAATAAATGTAAAGAATTATTATATGCCATAAAAGGACAACAAAAAAAATGTCAAAAAGAAAATCGACGATATAATAATGATTGTGTCTTGTTTCGACAAAAACTTTGTGATGCATTTCCAGACATACCTACATGTATAAATGTTTAACAAAAAAAAAAAACGATTCTTATACAAATTATCTAAAACTGACGAATAAATTTTAAAATAGATAGTTTAACTAAAATAAATAGAATATACGTACATGATTATTTTAATCGATAACCGTAATCGTATTTCGGTTAACTACCGACTCGTTGTTTAAAGAGCCTTGAATCTCTCTTATACTGTATGCATCTTCCGATGTTCTCTACGAACAAATATCTTTAACATGAGACTAGCAGAAACAAACATTTGCGAAAAACGTTTGGATGGATACCAAAATAATTATACGGGCACTTGTACTCGAGAAAAGTTTATTCTTTCGCCACAAAAATGATAGTGAAAAGGGGAAGTTTTTCTATTTTTATCAAAAAGATTCTATCTTTTATGTATACTGGTGAGAAGTTGTTAAATTTCGTTTAGAACTAAATTAATGATATTAAGTTCGAGTCAAAAAACAAACAGCGGAATGAAAATGTCACAACAGTTAACCAATTGATCGTTTATAATCGGTCACGATTAACTATAATCAATGTATGTCTAACTATAAACATATCTTTTTTTGTTTTCGACAGTTTTGTGGTATTTGTTCGTTGCAAACATTATTTTTTGCCTAAAATTTGTCTTATTGTTAAGAAAAAAAAGAAATGAATGCAAACATAGATATATAAAATGATTATAAATGAGTATTGGAATGACGGCTATTTATCACAATATTTGTTAGTGAGATATTTTGCATAGTTATTATAGAAATACCAAAGTTTAACAACTGGATAAATCATAATTTATCGTTCGATACGGATATTTGTCTTGTTGACATGGAAGGTGATTGAATTGGTGTGATACTATTGACATTTGGTTTATTATTCACATGAAATGTCAAACATCCGGCATGTAAAATTAACAATGTTTCATTTGTTAAAAATCCTATACTCCATGGCCATGGTCTATATTGAACACATTTTTTTTCACCACTTGCTCCAACAGCCCAAACTTTTTTATTTCCACCATCTGTTACAATAATACCACCATAACCATCAACAATCAATCGATTCATATTATCAGCATTCAATTCATACAAATCAACACGCCGAATTAATTGACCTAAAATATTTTACCTATTATAAAATCTCTATATATTTATTTCTTATTATTATTTTACCTGTTTTTTGTCGTTTCTCTACCATATATCGTCCTGGTTCTCTCTCTCGTCGTTTACCCAATATAAAACAAAATAATTTATCAACAGCTATTGAACGTATTTCAACACCAGCTTCAAATGTAACTGTCAGTTGTAAATCATTATCAAAAACGCTTATTTTCGATTTATTACAACCTTTTTCACTACCATAATAAATCATTTGTTCATCGGATGCACAACGTTGACAATTTAAACCACGTTCAACTATTCTATCACGTTCCAATTGTTTTCGATTTAAATTACATAAATATAGTTTACATTCAACAGGTTTCGATGGTATTTTATGTTCACCAATAACCACAATACTATCATCATGATATATACATAAATCTTTGATATCACCTTCAGACCATTGGATTCTCTAAAAAAAATAAAATAATTATAATTTTTTTTGTAAATTCTATTAGAAATTGACTTACTTCATTTTCATGACCATTTGAATCGAAAATAACCAATGAACTTTTATCTTTATTATAAAGCAAAATTAGATCGGTATTAGTGACTGCTAATATACCCCATTCAAAACTTTGTGATAAGGGAATTTTTTTATAAGCTTCTGTACTACAATTATCGAGTTTTGATAAAAAATTATTAGTTTTAGAATTTATTGATGATTTATGATTTAATAATGATGAATTGTTAGAGGAAGATGAGGATAATGTAAGATCGGCAACAGAATTTGAAATTGTTTTTGGTAAATTACTTGTTGTCGTTGTCAAATTATTCGGTATATGATGAGTATTATGAAAATGGGCTTGAGATCCAGTAGTATTAGTAACAATTGATAGACCATTTGAAGTGGTAGTGGGTATATTGGCAATTGAATTTAATGAAGTATAATGACCATTGTGAGGTTTACTACGAGTGATAGTGGGTGTTGAAACCGGTTTTGTTTCATTTATAGTACTACTACCACTACTAGCAGTAACAATATTACTTACATCTAAAATTTAGAAAAAAAAAAGAAAAATTTTAACAAAAGAACAATGATAAAACTAACTTTCATACCATCTATATTTGAAGAATTGAAATGTTTATCTGTTACTTCTTGTGTTTGAGATGGTGATTGAATTTTTTGTTCACTATTATATGTTTTTAATTTATGCATGTAATTCAAATCTAATGTTAAATCGGGCATTTCTTTGTTAAACAGTCGATTAGCTTCATTCATTTCATCCTTGATTTGTTTTAATTTTGATCGAACTTGTTTAAATTGTTCAATGGTTGACCAGTCGCTAATAAATGCACGTAATTCGTGAATATGTTTTTGAATATGATCTATCTCTTGTTTATGATGGTCAACTAATTGTTCAATTGTTGTCATATTTGACATATATTGTTTCGTAAAATTTTGTTCCGTTTCCAATTGAGCACATTTCATTTCGTTGATAAGATTTGCATAATATTTACGAATATCATCAATTAATTCATCACGACGACGTGCAAATGAATCACGTGTACCAAATACCATTTCACTCATTTCATAATGAGTTTGTTCTAATTGTTCAAGTTCTTTTTCTAATGACATTGTAGCATCGCGACGATGTCGATGACCACAATCAAAACAGACCTAGTGTAGAAATCATTATTAATATTTAATGTACATTTGGATTTTGGATTTTGTTTGCGCTTACCAATGATGAACAATGTGAACATTTGACAAAACTTGGCGACTGATGACAAACTTCACATTGGCCATTAGCTTCGACATAGAAATTTGAAGATTGCACCAAATGTAAAACAGTTTGATTAATGGGTAAATCATCAATGTTTTTTACACTAATTATAGGTTTTTGACAAGTTGGTACGGGACATTGATGGGTAACTATACTACCACCGTTAATGTGTTCATTTGTATTACCACCGTTCAGTGATGAATCATGATGTTGTTGCCATTCTTGTTCTAAACATGGTTGACAAACGGTATGACCACATGATGGAAGCACACGAGGATCAATGTATCGTTGGGCACATGCTGGACAATTTGTTAAGGTTTCAAGTAAATGTCTGGGAATAGCAGCAGCCATATTGTCTATAGTTGCATTCTACAATTGTAAAATGATCTTTAAATTCTAATGATAGTACAATATTTTACAAATTAGGCAAAAAAATATTTATATTGACTAATGACTATCTCTTATTTTCAACATATATAAAATGTCTGCATTTAATATCAACAATTCTGTCTAATGATCTTTCTTAAATTTGTATAAGCATGCAGAATTTTTAATAGAGAACAAATCGAATCATATTTATATTTTTCTTTTGAAATAGAAATAGTTTTGAAATTTTATACTTTTCCATAATTATGAAACAGTCGTCTTACTTGTTCTTTTCGTTGTTGTTGTTGTTTGCTCTATTTTAGAAGTAAAATAGCTCTCACTTTTCGCTTAATTAGTTTTATTCTTCGTTTATCACGTAACTATAAAATATTAATGTTCAACATAAAAAAGAAATTGATACACTCGATTCTCTATCGTATCTGCTTAAAAACGATGATATTAAATTTTGTTCAATCTCTTCTTTTTCTTCTCTTCAGTATATTCATTACAATGATAAATATGTACTATATGAAAAAAAAAAGAAGAAAAGTAAATGAATCCAAGGCGCAGATGATGAAGAGCGATTTTTTGTGACAGTTAAAAATCCAAATGAAAAAGTAAAAAGAAATTCTTCACGTATACCTTAAAATAAATGTTCTCTTCTTTTATACATATATATATATATATATATATACATATACACAGGTTAAGTGTAGTAGTATCCTTCAATATAGTATACTTTGTAATAAAACTTTTGTGTGTGTGTGTGAACTACTTTTCATCTATCTTACCTGTTCATCTCTCCTCGTTTTTATACATTGTAATTTTTATTTCAACTCTATTCGATTATTATTATTATCAAAAAAACCGACATCGATTGAACACGGTTGAGACGATACGTGATGAACTGAGAGAGAGAGAAAGAGAGAGAGAACGAGAGAGAGGGAAAGAGAGACAATCATGAGAAAAATGTGATGATAATGTTACGGTTGACTTCGATGAAGAAGAGAGCTTCTCACGCATATATGCGTGAGAATAAAAAATAAGGCTATACCTATAGACACTAATTTTATGGTTTTAAGACGAAATGAGTGATAAAATCTGTTTAGATTTATCAATAAAATGCATACAACACGTCTATAATCCAACATATACTGTACGTGTTCAATGAATTGACATGCTAAATTGTGTGTATCCGTTCTTTATTTTTGTTGATTAGTTTGTATTGAAGGATGGTAAACTTAATTACATATGAGGATGGCTATTATTCTATAGGTGATTATTTGCCACAAAAATCACATCTCAAAATCATATTTTTCGAAACGAGGAATAGCGTCTTCTTTTAATGAATAGTATAATTGTAAAACACCCCAAAGGTATACATTCTTTTTCATTTCGCTATTTTCAAAGACAAAAAGGGAAGTTATTGTTGCAACAAATTGAAACCTTGCAAAGATTCAATGAGACTTTTGATGAACAAAATATTGGAATTTTTATCTTGAAACATCATATTCCTCTCACAATAGAAAAAAGGGAAAGAAAGAAAAAAGACTAACTTGTGTCAATATTCAATCAGACATATTTTTTTAATTTCAACATCAAACAAACTAATACCAAACAAGTAAATATCAATTGTAAATTCTATATACGATTGAAGAGAGAGAGAGAGAAAGAGAGATGATGATGTTCAAGTGTAAGTAAACAGGTCATATATCACTTAGATAATGTGCATGTCTATATATAAGGCGATAGATCAGCTTTTAATGTCGTTATTATCTGCATAAAAATTTTTTTTTGTTGAATGGACAACGACATATATACTCTACTCATCTATAAAATCTTGTATTTTCTTGCTCAAGCATGAGACATTTCAATAGTATGTAACAAGACTATAATATGTAAATAGTTCCGATGTGATTTACTCTTTAAACTTAGACTATTTGTTTTATTACTTAGTCAATCTGAAATGAACTAGACGTGTTAAAAATATATAAATCATTAAACATTTTATTATTCATCAGATTATATTGACTATTGACTACAACTATATTATAATCTTAAATATGTTAGAAAACTATCTTAGTACCAAACATTCAATTGTAAAACTCAAGAAGATTTTTAAAACAAATGAATATTCTAAAACTGTTTATAGTCTTCATAAAAACAAAGTGAGAAGTTTAATAGTAAGCTTATCATAATGATGGTTATAAAAAAGAAAAACTTGGTATGCCATTTCACAAACTTAAAATGTGTCACTCTTTGAAACATTTTTAAACAACCTAAATATGTCGATTGGATACGGTTTTATTAAGAAAGGTCCTTTATTTTTTAAATTGAGTCTAATGTGCGATGAGATAAAGCATGAAAAGAAAGTAAATCGTTCGTTATAGTCAGCTTATGTAAATGAATTGACAGTTTTGTAGTGTCACGCTGACATATATATGAAATATAATAAATGAGAAAAGATATATATTGTAATTGAACACAGTTAAACATATTTTCGGTTTGATCTTTTTAGTTAATCCGTCTGTTATATTGAATAAATTAACTCGAAAACCGTTCGTACATTTATATTAAGTTTATAACATTGGTATTGTCCATACAATGTCTGATTTCTTGGTATAATTTACTAAAATTTTAATAATATAGTCTTTTGGAACGACTACGTAATCGTGTTTAAATATATTTGTTTAACAATTTTTCAAAGATAAAAACATACGTAAATAAAAGAAGATTAAAACTTTATCATACAAAAATCATTCTATATTGTGAAAAGTGAGACTCTTTTGTTTTTTCCTTGAAAGAATTATCACAGAATCCAAATGTTTTAAAAACAATTTTTTTGTTTTATTTAAAGTTCTTCCAAATCAATTTCAGGAAAATCTCCAACTTTAACAGAACTCGGTCGAACAAATGCACCATATTTATTTTGACATTGAAAATAAACTTTTCCATCAACACTAGAACAATCAAAATTATTAATTAATTAAAAGGAAAAATATTACAATTGCCTTAATTAACTACCTGCCATCATTCTTTCCAAGCGGTTCATCATACTTTATACCTATCCATACACCGGGTTTAAAATGAACTTCTCCTATATAAAAAGCCACAATACTTTTTTGATGGTAAGGCCTAAGCGAATAAGTAAAACAAGATACTCATACCTATATACATAACTGTTCCTCGTTTTGTTGGTTGGTTTACCACAGCTACTTCACATCTAAAATTAGATCATATTATTATTCTTTTTACTATTAGATGCGCCTTCTTACCTATCCGATATTTTTATTTTAGTCGCTAGACGTTTTTCATTTTCTTCTTTTTGCTTCTCTTTTTCTTCCTTTTGTCTTTCTGCTTCTGGATTGAATCGTCCAATTTTATTTTCTTGTAAAAATTGTCTTGCTGTACCTGTAATAAAATTATGAAAAATTTTCATTTTATTCTATTAAATATTTTCAGAACCTTTTACCCTGTCTCGACGCATACTCTTCTTGAGATAACTCATATTTTGGTACACTTGAAGTATCATCAAACAAATGACTACTATTATCATTTGTGTCTTCAACCGATAATACCATTTTTGGGTGTACATCGTATGAACCTAATGTACGTGAATCATCATTCAAATCAAATAATTCTGTGCCACGCTCATCTTTCACATGAATTTTCATTGTACTTGCTTGTGCACCAGTTATTAGTTCAAGTTGATTCTAAATAACGGTGAATAAAACATCATTTGCAAATCGATCCATTGAGAAGAATATTGTACCAATTACTCGCAGTTCATGAACGGGCATTGATCGTTTAAATCGGCGAATTGCTTCACTGGAAACAACATTACTCTTAATTGTAAATTCGATCATATCAGCACCACCTCCGCTTGCCATACTAGCAAAATAAATCTGAAATAAACTATCGATATAAAATAACTCTTTGATCATGATAATTATAGCTCCTTGTATGTCCATTTTGTCAGTACCAGAAGTGGGCAAGTCCCAGTCTCGACTAATAAGCTTTCTTAATCGAACTGTGCCTGGACTGAATCTTGACTCGGACTGAAAAAACAGAGAATCTGCCAATTTCTGCTCAGTACAATGAAAAATTACACCGTAGACTCATATTGTTCTTGATATTTTTCCCCAACCATAATAGCTAGAGTAATTCTGGAAAAAAGATATGAATAGCCGAAAGAGTTTACAATCTATAGTGTAGTCTATATAAAAATTCTATTAAAACTCCTGGAATTAGGATTGTAGTAATATCTTAAAAGTCGCTGGATTCGGCTACAACCTTTTTGCAAATTATTTAATCCCCTAGAACAGACATATCTGAACAAATGAGGCAGAGCTCTTCATGACATTGTTTATACATTTTACAGAAATCGTAATTCTAGGAGTTTTTATAGAATTTCTATACACATTACACTACAGATTGCAAACTCTTTCAACTATTTAAATCTTTGTTTTAGTTATTATAGTGGGTTGAAAATATCAAGAACAAAATGAGTCTATAATTTTTCAGAATACTATCAAATGGACACGACACATTGAGGATAAAAAAATTCATCGAATGTACAAAAAACAAAAATTGTTCGAAAAGAATTTTATTCAAAATGTTTTCAAAATTCCTTTCTACAACTTTTTGAAAAAATTTATAGAATGGAAGTAAAAAAACAAATTTTCAATAGATTATGCTACTTTTCAAAAGTCTAGATCATCCACAAAAAATGTTAGTCAATACAATCACACATGAACAAATTTATTTATAAACTGAGTTTATAACTCTACACTGCGTTTTGCTGCTTCTATTTTATATCTGCAGTTAATACTAGGACAAAAAAAAGAAAAAAACAATGCAGCGGATGACAAATGAACAGAACAAAACATCTATTAATACTTAGAATGCAAAAAAAAGCTACAACACGTGGCATCTCAGTGAACTACAAAAAAAAAATGAACATCGAACTACAGCTATATATAAGAAATATCATTAACTGCAACCAGTCAGAAATCCATTCATTGAATGAGTAGATTTACAAACACATTCACATACACAGACGAATAGAATGTCATTTTCTTTTTAAAGAAAAAATATAAAAGAATTTTAAGAAGCAAAAATGAATATAACGAGCAAGTAAAAAAGTACTTTCACGGTATAATACATTTGTAAATCCATGCTTTTGAAACGTAAATTTTGTACACACGTTTTTGTTTTTCTTTTTCTTTTTCAAATAAATATAGTTTAAACTAACCAATTAAAAGAAAAGTAGAAAGAAACTATATACAATATCGTAAAAAAAAAAAATTGTACACAATAGAGTTTATACTCGTGAAAGTTCATCTGAAATTTAGACAAATTATAAAGTTCAAAACTCTAGAAAAATGTACTATATTACTTACCTATTGCAGATACTTCATGAACTCGTTTTCGTCCTCTTGCAGCTGTGCTAGAACGAGCTCGAGAATCTTTAGTATGTCCTCCCGCTACTCCTTCATCCATTAATACACGGCGATATTGTATTAATGGTTCCCACGCATCACTATCACTAATGACAACATTATTAACCAATTTTTCCAAATAATCATAGCTAAAATGAATTGAATACAGATTTTTCAGAAATAAGAACAATCAAACGTTATATTTACATTGCTTTTTTATCTGGTTTAAATAATTTCGATGTAAATTCTGGTAAACATTCTAAAAATAATACATTTGGTCCGGGCATGGTTGAATCAATTGGATCAGTTAATGGTGTTACACCAAAACGGATACATTCACTGAAATGAAAGAATGAGAAATAAAGAAAAATTTAGTTAAAAAAGGTATTATTGTTGTTTCATTACCGATGAAGAGCGGCTAATGCTTCACGTTGTTTTCCCATATCAAGACCAAATGATAAATTAAATCGTCTTGCCAATTCCTAGAATAGCAGACATGAATGCCATGAATTTTATTTTATACTAACTACTATATAAATACTTACTCGCAATGGAGATAAATCAACGGGTATAGTTCGTTCCTCATCATTTGGCAAAGATGCAAGTTGTTGATCACGATGTGTAAGACAATCTTTGTAAACCTGGAAAAATGATTATCATTTTATAGACTTTGATTTTATAAGAATTTTAGAAAAATATTACATACTGCTATTAAACTGTGTGCCATAGTTTTCGCTGTATGAATCTTTGATATATCACGTGCTCGTGTAAATGTATTTTTAATTATATCACCAAAATCATTGTTATACTAAAAATACAAATAAAATTTATTATATTAATAAAAAATATAAGATATTTTGCATTAGGGCTCACATATTTGATGACTCATAGAGAACGAACAAAAGAATTGTCATGACAGCTTCGTTGTTTGTCCTCCTCTATGAGTCATCAAATATACAAATTCTATTTTATATATAGAAGAATGATTCTTAAATGAATAAACATTTTATTACTCATAACTTACTTTAACATAATATTTCAATATATTTGTTGACGCTTGAATTGGCAATACATTATGTACAATTAATTTACAATAAGCAGCTAATAGATTACGTTTTTTATGTAGTGCTTCAATTTTAACTTGTTCTTCTTGATCTATAGTGACAAAAAATATTTCCAAATAAAATAAGATTATTTGTTACTATATTACCTTTTGGTTCATCAACATTAAATACATAGGTACTTAAAAATGTTAATAATGTTTGTATTAAATTTTCATTAATATCCAAAACAAGTGATTTATATTCATCATTTTTATCAATTAAATGTGGACTTAAACTAATTAATAAATCGCATAATGTTGAATAGGCATATTGACATATTTGTTGATTTGAATGTAACATTAATTTCTGACATAAACCAGATAATTTTCGACTTCGTTTAACAATTTTCTTTAATAAATCCTAAAAAATTGAAAAGATTATTTTATAAATATCTTATCATTTCAACATTATTTCATATACTCGATCAAATTGTGTTTCAAGATGAACAAGACCCCAAAGAATGGTACGATTAGCTACACCAAAACATTTTTCAACAATCTAAATAAAAATTCAATAATAATAAAAAAAAAATTTCTTCATTCTACAATTATTAGAATTATACCTCCGGTGACATATCTTCATTGTCAATAGCTGCCTTAAATAATAAATGAATTTTATCCCAAAGATCAGTAGCGCCCAAATCGTGACATCTAGGATGAAAAACAAAAAACATTAATAAAATAGTAGTGTAGTGTATTCGTTGACATTTTATATATATTTACTTACTGATGAAATGCATCTAGTTTTCTCAAATTTAATAATAATGGATATAAATCATCTTCATCAGCTTCATCCTACAGAAAAAATTGATAAATTTAACTAACTTTAAAGTTTATTAATATGATATTTAAATATACCATATCTTCAAAAATATTCATAGCTGCAATAAAATTAGCCACAATTTTGTCCGTAATATTACCACGATAGGCAATAGCCCGATTTGATAGTGTAAAAATAACATCACAAACACATTCAAAACATTTTGATACTGCATCAAAAATCTATATCAAAAATAAAAACAATAATAAATCATTAATAAAAAAATTGAACAATAATAAAAAAATAATTTTACTTCAGCAGTTGTATGCCGTTGAACAATGTCATTTAATGCACCTAAATATGTATCTAAATCACGTTCACGTCGTGTTGTTGTATATGTTTCATAATTGAAATGTAACGGTATTTGTAATAAATTTAATAGTTTATCACCATCAGCTATATACTGAAAAACAGTTATAAAAAGCAAACTTTTGATTATTTTTGATATTTTATTCACCATCTTGATTTAGTTCTCCAAGTAAAATATTCGGCATACATTTTTAATCTTTCAATATAAGACGCTAGGACACTCGACGCAAGGATATCAATAGTAGGACGCAAGCAGTATTAAGACACTAAGAATAAGAATGAGAGCACTAGCACCATTCACACCCGTTCGTAGTCAAAGCAATAGAATGATTATATCCTAAGATACTAGAATGATTTGAAGAGTATTCTCTTTTAACGTATATTCGTTTAGATCATAAAAGACAGATTAAGGAATCTATATATGTATTCAAAAGAATTTTGAAGATTCAATATCGTTGTGTCCGAGTATCATTTGTGTCTCTGATTCGGTATACTTAAATTTTTAAAAAATCTATGTAATCTTTGAAATATCCCTTACTTTATTTAATAAAGGTGGTAATGTACCAATAAAATGTTCCGTTAATATTTTTTTGTCATCTTCCTTTTGTTTTTGTTCTTTCATATTGAGCTGAAAGAAGAATGTTATGACTTTTCAATCAGAGACGAAGACACAATTACCTTTCTGTTCGGTTGTCCACGTCCAATTGGATATTCTACAATAAACAGACAGATAACTAATAAACAGATAGATAACTAAATAATAACATTACCTCCAGTGGCAGCTTCTTTAACACAGCAAACCAGTATTTCAATAAGACAATTTTCATGCTGATCATCAAGCGCTAAAATTCATATAAACTTTTTAAATTTTAAAAGAAAAAGATTAGACTAATTCATACGTTCATCATCTTGGTCTGGTTCTTCAAGTAAAATATCTGTCATACATTCCCAATCTTTCATCATTGGATGTAAATCCCACATAGAATCAACAAGATAAGTTGCATGTTCATGAAGCTAAACAAAAAAAAAGAAAAATATATTGTTTCACATATTATCCAACATTGTCTCATTGTGTCCTGTATATCTTACTTCACTTTCAATGAAAAATTGCACAAGTAAATGCATAAACGATGTATTTTGGCTTCGTTTTTTCGTCTGTGTTGAAGATGATAATGGTATTTCAGCTTTATGAAATAATTTTTGATTTAAAAATTCACCAGCTGCTTGTGCCACTTGTCGATGTGAATGATAAACTAATTCATAAATATTTTCACAATCTTTATCTTCTAATATACGTTCATTAAATCTATAAACAAAAAAACAAGTATAAATTCTCTCCTGAAGTAGCGTCTATCTATTCTTGATGTCAAGAAGATAAACATCTTTAGTAAATCTCTATTCGAAACACTATTTTATTGTAAATTTACTTTAAGATGGCTGTTAATAATTTAATTGCTTGTACAGCAACTTCATATTCACAATCAACTGTCATTTGAACAATACGATCCTTAAAGACAAAGATTTCATCCTATTAACAAAGCAAAAAGAAGTATTTAGTAGTACATTACTTTGAAACGATTTGTGAATAATTCTAATTTTCCAACGAGATCAGTTGTTGAAAATAGAGGAATTAACGCGAGTAGACATCGTAAACGACAATCACCAACCTTGAAATGAATATGAAAAAGATAAGGTTAATGTTAAATTTGAACTAACTTACTTTATCATATAATGTCCAACCAATGTATTTTAGATAAATATCATCAAGAAATACCATTGGATAATTTTTCATCCATTCTCCAAGTTCACTCATACATAAACAACGTATATCAGGTACAACGTCTCTAGAAAAAAAATATCAAAATAAAGTCATGTTCACGTACACGTACCATCTCATCACAATTAGATTTCCTCTTTATGATGGAAATCCTTATAAAGAAATTTTTAAAAATGAAACATCGAGCAAACCAAATTGATATGAGATGTTATGGGTATGTGAACATGGCTTAAGTTGGTAAAGATGTTACCTGTATCGATGAATAAATACACCTTTGAATATAAAATTCATAAAACTTTTAATTTCATTTTCGTTGCCTTCGAGCTAAAACATATAAAAACAAAAACAAATGACATGACTCCACGAATACAAAGATTGAAATACAACAATCAATTCGCAGTTGAAGCTAAAAGATTCTTCCTCTCTTTTTCCTTTAGTGATCTGAACTTGCTCGTCAAAAAAAACCCAATGAACTCGACCAGTTTTTAAATAGCATTTGATTCAAAACAGAAAAAGAGCTTCTGTTTTTCTATTTTTGAGCGCAGAATCTAACAAACTGAGATGGTTTTTTGAAAACTTTCCAAATATCTTAAATCTAAGAAAACAAAAGTTCTGACTTTTCTAGCCTTATCAATGGTCTGATTCAAGAAAAATAGAGAGATAATTTTTCTCAAAACTTGTACTTTCTACTTGTTTTCCGTAAACAAACATTGATTCGAAATTCAGAATCATCGATAGCCGATGACTTCATTCATTGTCAATGTCACTATTGTCTAAACTTAATCGATAAGACAAAATTGTCTATTAAGGGCCCCCCCTCAGAAATTATCTCCGGCACCGTACATCCGATCTTGACGAAACTTTCCGTAAATGTTCGGCACAATGAGTTACGGGGATGAAAAGATTTTTTTGTCTCCAAGT